GGANNNNATCTCTCTAAACTTTCTATTTCTCTAAATTTTCGAACTTCAACGAACGATTCGAGCATAAAAAAAAATCCAAAAAAATGTCGAAAAAATTCTACGGCATCGGCAAAGGACTCTTCTCCAACAAGATAATTTTTTTTTTCTGGCCGGAAAAATTTTTAAATTTTTTTTTTTTGAAGCTGGCCGGCCGTCCGGCCGTCGGTTCCGGACGGCCGACGTCCGTCCGGTCGTCGGTTCCGGACGGACCAAAAACCGTCCGGTCGGCTGAACCGGACGGCTCTCTCATTGTCCGATTCCGGGCGTCCGGAACCGCCGGCCGGTCGCGAGCCGGCCGGACATTTTTCGGTTTTTTTTTTTAATAATTATAATAAGAATAAATAATAATAATAATTATAATTATTATAAATTATAAATTATAATAATAATCATATATGATAATAATAATAAGTTGAATATAAAGTAATTAATTATAAATTCTAATAATAATAATAATAATAATTAAAAATTAGAAATAACTATAATAACAATAATAAATTATAATAATAATAATTATATATTATAATAATAATTATTAAATAGTATAATAATAATAAGTTGATAAATTGTAATTAATTATAAATTTGAAAAATAATATTAATAATTATAAATTATATATGCTTATAATAGGAGACGAGCAACCACAAAACAAAAACTCTGAAAAAGAGACACTAACTCCATATAGAGGAGACAACCAGACACAGATAAAGACAAAAAACAACTCACACCTAATAAACAAATAAAATAAGAACTCTCCTAAACCTATCAAGGAACCGAACAAACTCTCAAACCTACAACCAAAAGACACTTCACATCACAGAAACCAACCAAGCAACAAACTTAGACCTCAGACCCAAAAACTGCAGTCGGAATTGAATCGCCTAGACAGATCTGACAAGGAGTCAAGCCTCGATCTGTGAGGTTTACATTGATAGCATGGTTTGATTTTATAATGTTTCTATACAAAAGGTATTCATAAACATGAAGTAAACTTTGTAAAAAAATACGGATATGTAAACATCATGTTGTTTCGCGTCGAGACTATGTTATAACATTTCCTTCACTTCGCTTCTAAAGATTACATTGACCTTCGGTTCGATCTATAATCGTGTTCATATATATATATATATATATATTGGTGTGTATTTTCGTTTGTGTTTGGTATATATATTTATTTTTAAACATAACTTGAAAACTAATAAAAATGAATTGTTTGCAACTATTTTTATCGCATGTTGAGATTTGGAAAATTATTAATCGTTTATGTTTACTATATATAATAGAATTTTTATTTCTTGCAATGTCGCGAGATTATTCTAATAATATAATTCTATGATAAACTACAAATAAACTAAACGTAAATATAAACAAAAAAAGTTCATAAAATCTACAACAAACATATATTATTTATGTAAAAATGATATATTTAAAAGATCATCGTTGATATGGAAAAAAAATAAATAAATAAAATAAAATTCAATTGCAGTAGTGGATATGTAGATTAGCCTAATTTTTAAAGGCTAGTTTTGTTATGAAATCTGATTTTCTTGGACTTAGATTAATTGAAATAGAGATTCATTCTAAATTATAATTGACCTCACTCGGTGATATGTGGATATAGTTTGTCGAGCAACTTATGTAGATTAATTGACCTCACTCGGAGATTCATTATAGTATATGTAGATTAATTTTTGGTTTATATTTTCTTTACTAAATTTTATTCTTTTGATATTTAAAATTGGTAATGCCTCTAGAATTCTATATGCACTAAAGGTTGATTTTAAAACAACTTTTTGTTTAAGAGATTTTAAACCAACATAATATATTAACTTTTGTGGTCTACCATAAAATTATGAATGTGTTTGAACTTAAACTGACATTTAATTTTCGTCAAGTTCGCATAATTGATTATTTTAGCTCGAAATGTAGAAAACTTGATCTATGTCCTTATACATTTAATTCACATTTCGTTAGTTTTTTTAGACTAATTTCGATCTAAAAGTATTTTTTTTTTTTTTTNAAAAGTTGGATTTAAAAATATATACTTGCATTTATAATAAAATTTAAACTATTTACCAATATTAGTTGGAAATTAATAACTCTATTTCCCAATTAAATAAATTTATCTTTCTAGTCCATTATCCCCTCTATATAAAATTTCATAATGCGCTGAGCCTACGTGGCAAACTCTCATGCTTCGGAATCCTATTTGGCAAAAAATCATGCTTTGAGTTAGGCTTGAATATAAATTAATATTTGTATTAATTGTATTTTAATATCATTTCCTATTATAACCATTGAATTGCAAATATATTTTAAAAGTTGATAACTTTTGTATTTCTTATCAATTTTACATATATAATATATCAAATTAATCATCTTTTGATGAGCTTCGATTTGAAATCCATATTGTATATATAAAATAAATAAATTATATTTATCTTTATAATAATAATAAAATTATTTATTAAAATTAATTAGAAAATAAAATTATTTATCAACTAATATATTTATGTTTAATATAGTTATATGTTATAAGGTAGAAAATTTATTATAATATAACACATATAAGTCGCACAAGTAACATGTATCATACTAAAATATATAGTAATATATACTCTCCCCTATTTTTATTATTTGTCACTTTGGCTTAATTGATCATTGATAAAATAAATGTCGTTTTCAATATTTTATTCATATTTTTTCATTTTTAACCCTCCATCTAATACACAATGTCTCTTTATATCCCATCCCATAACATCCATTAAATAGGGTTAATATTGTCAAGAAAAAAAAAACTTAATTAGTGTGTTGCATTTGAAATGATATTATGAAGTCCATTTGCACTTTACTATTTATATATATATATACATATATATATATATATAATACAAAACAGTAATATATATCCTTATAAATAAAATTTAAAATTATTTATCAAACTAAATTAAATTTTATCAATTCATATATTTATGTTTAATGTAGTTATAGGTTATAAGGTAGAAAATGTTTTATAATATAACACATATTGTTTGTCCCATTTTTGTTGCGTTTTTCGTTGTTATTTTGTCCCTCATATTGAGTCATTTAGATGGTTTTAGGATCATTTTGTCATTTATTATGTGTTTTGCGTTCATTTGAGTGTTGCGATGTTTTCCGTTTGTTTTCCGGTTTTTTTCTGTTCTCTTTTCGTTTTTGGTGTGTAGTTTGAAGACCTTGGGAGAACAGGTTTTCGAGAATCTTGTGGGGAAGCTGACACCATTAGATAGAGGGGTTCGTTAGCGACACGTAGGAAAAAACGGAACTCAATTCTGAGTTAAAACGAACCCGAACGAGCAAAAATCGTAAGATGGTGCAGTGCAGATTTTGGTCTCCGCGGCCGCGACCCTTTCTTCGCCGCAGCCGCGGCGAAGAAAAGCTGCCAGGTCCCAAATTTCTGCACAGATGAGGTCGCGGCCGCGGAGCAAGTCGCGGCCGCGGAGGTCACGATTCAGCCTTTAAAAACCTGTTTCTGCGATTTTTGACAGGGGGGAAAGAGGGGTGCGATTGGG